TCCTTCTAATTTTGAATTTTTTCTTCCTAGTTACTTGAGATACAGAGCTAAATTGCTTTTTTGATTTAAGTATTGACTTGTATAAATTTCTTAGTATTGCTTTTGTTAGATTCCCTAGGTTATTTTGTTTCCATTTTCATTTGTTTCAAGAAACTTTAACCAGCGCATACCTCTTTTTGAAAAGTCTCATTGTATATCCCAGGCTGGCCTTGAACTTGTGACTCTCCTGCCTCAGTTCCCCAAGTGCTTGGATTACAAGAGTATACCACCGCACCCATCTCTAAATTTTATTCTTGATTTATTCCTTAATCCATTGGTTTTTCAAGAATAAATTGTTTAATTTGTACGTATTTGTGCATTTTCTAAAGTTTTTTTTTTTTTTTTTGGTACCGGGGATCCAACTTGGGACCTTGTACTTGCGAGGCAGGTGGTGGCACCACTGAGCTAAATCCCTAGTTCTAAATTTACTTATTTCTCGTTTTTCTTGGGGGGGGGTACTTGGAATGGAATACAGGACCTTGTGCTTGCCAGGCAAGCTCTAGTTTTATTGGTGTGGTCAGGAAAGGTACTCAAGCGGCTTTCAATTAAAAAAAAAAAAACAAAACAAAACTGGAGACTTGCCAGGCATGGTGGTGCATGCCTTGTATCCTAGCACTGAAGAGGCTGAGACAGGAGTTCTGTGAATTTGAGGGCAGCTTGAGCCACAAAGTAAGTTCAAGGCCAGCATGAACTACATAATGAGACCCTGTCTCAAAATACAAAAAAACAATAAAGATTTTGTTGAGATTTCTTTTATGTTTTAGCTTTTTTTTTTTTGGTACCAGGGATTGAACTCAGGCCCTTGTGCTTGTAAGGCAGGCATCATAACCACTGAGCTAAATCCTCAGCCCCCTAGATTTCTTTTATGTTTATGAGCTATCCTGGAGAACACTCCGTGCTGCTGAGCTGAGCAGAATGTGTATTTTTTGGGTTTGGGTAAAATGTTCTGTAGATTTTGGTTGGGTCCATTTGGTCTGGGTGCAATCTAACTGTTTCCTTACTGATTTTCCATATAGCTGATCTGTCCATTGTTGAAAGGAGGATCTTAAAGTCCTTTACTACGATGGCATTAGATTGGTTGCTTCTATTAGGTCTATTAATATCTGCTTTATGTATTTGGGTGCTCCAATATTGGGTACATATATATATTCAGAATTATTAATTCCTCTTGCTGATTTGATCCCTTTATCATTACATTCTCTCTCTCTTCTTGAGAAAAAGGTCACTATGTTGCCCACGCTGGTCTTGGCTTAAGTGACCTTCCTGTCTCAGCCTTCTGAGTAGCTAAAACTATAGGTGTGTGCTGAGGCACCAGAATCTCCTGAGTATTTTTCCTCCTTGGTGCTGCAGGTTGAAACCAGGGCCTCACACGTGGTATGCAAGGGCTACATCCTCACTGCTAACATCTGTTTGCAGAACTCCCTTTAACATCTCTTGTAGAACAGTCCTGGAATATATTCTCTCAATTTGTCTGGGAATGCCTTCTATTTCCGTTTTTTTTTGCATTTAACATTTTTATTTTAGACTGCAAAAACAAAAACAAGCAAACAAATAACCAAAGAACCTGAATAGGCTCATCAAATGCTGTAAAGTCATCTTTCCCAGGAAAGCAGAAGGTAGACCCTACCACAAAGACAAGACAGTTCATGCATGCTGAATTTAGAAGTACACTAAAATAGTATCAGTTTATCATCTGAAAATTCTAGGTCTTATTCATTTCCCTGTGGTAACCAAAACCATGTAAGTTAGGCTTCCTTACAATTAATCATCACCAAAAATATTAATTAGCTAACTATTACCAGATTTGGTCCAATTTTGTTCATCTTCTTAAAACTATGACCTGGGGGGAGCCCCAGCCACCCGCTCTTGGGCAGGGCAGAGAACTGCACCGAATGTGCTCTCCTGAGAGGCCACCCTGTCCCCTGGTGTGGAGGGTGATGCGGCCCCCGCCTGGGAAGACCTCCCTGCTTTGGGCTGCCCGGATGGGCGGTGAACTGCTGAGAGATGCAGCTGCCTTCTCCAGGGGAAGTTGGGTTTCTTCAGCCCTGAGCTCTCGTTTGCTCACTTCATGGGAGTAAGATACAGATGGTAAGAGAGAGGGGCCCTGGGTCATAGCCCGAGTTCCCTTCTCTGCCCTGTACATGGCGAGCCCTCCTGGCTCAGAATCCCTGCGCGGCCTGTTGTCTGCATGCAGCACAGAAGCACCTGCGCTGAAGTCCTCAGTCAGGGAGAGAATGGAAGCGCAGCCTGTTTGTGCTTCATTTTAAATGGCCAGCTTTGATTCGATCCCAGCCTGGTTCTTGTTAAATTCCTCCCTCAGGACAGCGCCTTGCAAGTGTGTCCTGAGACCACTGCCAGCTGTTGGCTTTCCTGCTGATCCACTCACCTCAGCAGGTCCCAGCTGGTGGGGTCAGCTCTCCTGTTTTTGCATCCAGATAGTCAGAGAGGTAGAAGTGTTTATTCAGTATGCAGAGTGGCCTTGACATCTAGGCCTCTATTTCATTTCTAAAGGACAGCTCTGCGGGTAGAGTATTGCTGATAGCAATTTTCTTCCTCCAGAACTGTGAAAATCTCATGCCACCTTTCCTTGATCTATAAGGTTTCTGCTGAAAAGTCTGTGGTCAGGAGGTTGGGACACAATTATGTAGTGTTTCTTCTCTTGCAGCTTTGAGAATTTTCTCTCTCTCTCTCTCTCTCTCTTTTTTTTGGGGGGCAGTACCTGGGATCAAACTCAGGACCTTGTGCTTTTGAGGCAGGCACCACTGAGCTAAATCCCTGGCCCTTTTTCTATCTTTAATTTGAAAGTTGAATTACAATGTATTTTGGGATGGATTTGGCTGAGCTAAATCTGACTGGTGACCTTTGACCTTGTTTTTGATGATAAAATCTACTTAATGTATTAGTATTACACTGCATGAAAATATAAAATACATGCATACATGTTTTCATATACACAGGTTTGGTATATAATTGTAAAACTTTTTTTTATTGGTACTGGGGATTGAACTCAGGACCTTGAGCTTGCAAGGCAGGTGCAGTGCCACTGAGCTAAATATTAGGTAGGCCCTGAAGTGTAAAACTTTTTTACTGAAGGAGTATATGGTCAAAAAGTTTGGAGACCACTTCCCTAAAAACTGTAACTTTAAATCCAAACCCCCAGGGCTGGGGATTTTGCTCAGTGGTGATGCTGCCTCACAAGCACAAGGTGCTGAGTTTGATCCCTGGTACCAAAAAAAAAAAAAAAAAAAAAAAAAAAAAAAAAAAAAAGGAAATGACTCCAAATCCCTAAACATAAGAAGTCTCTTTTCTTTTTAAATATACACATATTAAGATATTTTATTTCAAAAAGCACAAGTACATTGTACAAGTTTTAAATTTACATTTTTGTGACAAAAGATATCAATATATGCATTTTTTTGTATAACTTCATCATGGATGGAATTTGAGTCAGTGGTACAAACATGTTGCAGTCACTAAATATTGACCATCACAGTGAACCAAAATGCATAGTTGTTATGAAATAAGTGACCACTACAAGGTGAACTCACAGCCCATACAACAACATAATAAATTAACTATATAGATAAATATTTCTCTTTACTGAATCATTAAAAGTCTTGCCAGCCCCTCGCCAGAAATTAGAAGAACAGCTTTGGAGCCATTCTTTTGAACCAGTTCCTTCATTTAGACACAAAAGGAGACAAAGTGACGTGGTTGCTTGTCTGTAAGTAAATTTCCTAAGCATAATTAAATAATTTACAATAATGAAGGCAAACCACTAGGACAGCAGAATATCACTGGGAATCCCCGGGGCTGCAGCAACACTGAGACATACACTCATCTATGATGCAGTGATGTCAAACTTGGTATGAAGTGTGTGCTTCATCCAGTGTCCGACAGTCGCTCTGGTAGCTTGATCGCTTAGTTCCAGAACTTATGAAATGAATATAATAAAAGACTAGAAATAAAGTCAGTTTATCCTTGCTAAGGCGGTGGGAGGCCCAACCAATGAGGGTAGAAGGCAGCAGCATCTTCTGCCTATTCTACCCCAGACTTGGCATCTACACAATTGATCCAACAAAATTATATAAGAAACAAAAGTAAAACTTCAAATCTTTTCACCATTCTGGCCAATCTGACAAACTTAATACTAAATTTTTCTGATCCTCACCTGTTAATTGTTCACTCAGGGTGCACTATTTCCTGATGCTTCCTGAATAGTAATTATCAAGTAGAAATCCTGACTATGATTATGACACCAGCTATCAATTCATTACTGCAAAATCTACTTTTCTTTACAGAAGAAATCCTAAAAATCTAGCCTCAAATGTGCATCACTGATCATTTTGAAATACATTTTTGTGTGCTTGTCTTTGTTGAGCAAAAAGAAGACAGGAAAACATTTATACACAGAAGACAGTAGTAGCCACAGGTAGCATTTTTCAAACTGCTCACATTACCTTAGAAAACAGAAGATACAATGGAAGGTTTCAATTTATTTTGTCTAATATTTTGTTTTTAAATTTTTTCGGTCTAATATTTTAGATCATAATTTTTGATATAAAAAGTTAAAGCCAAGAGCCAAGAAGTCTATGCACAGATTTTATAGAGTTTTATTATATACAAACAAGATGGCTCAACCACAGCATGTTGTAACAGGACACAGACTACTGATCACAAGGCTTTTTTGGATCTTTATACTACTTATAAAACCAGAGTTTTTGAAAAGGCTGCATATGGATAATACATCAAAGATCTGTCTTTTACAAAGACAGAAGGTGGCAGAACAGGTTTAAATCTGATTGTTCTAATTTACAGTTGCTATGTTCCACTCATGGGGGTAATTTTATGATCTCATTCTACAGAGCTTACAATAGAATTGCAACAGGTTTCTTTTCTTTCTTTCTTTTCTTTTTTTTTTTTTTTGGTACCGGGGATTGAACTCTGGTCCTTGTGCTTGCGAGGCAGGCAGCAGAACCATTGAGCTAAATCCCTGGCCCTGCAACAGGTTTCTGAGAGTCAAACAGGATGGTACAGTACCACCTTCAAGAGGTAAGGTTATCTCACTGCAGAATTTGCCTTTGGAAAATGTAGAGTAGAATCTCAAACTCAACAAGCTAACTGTCAGAGGTGAGGACCACAGGCTCTTTGTACTATGAGATATGAATAGTGAATACACAATCCTGACTCTTCTCAAGGCCTGAAGTGGCACAGACTCTTATCCACACTGTCAGTGCCTCTATTCTGTTCCTTAAGAGATTCACATTCATTTCTGGCTTACAGTAGCAGGTGGCACATTATGGATATTTACTTAAAGGAGAAATGATGAAGTTTTCTTTTTTGAAATCTCTCAATTGAAGTGTAATGCATGCTTTCTGCAATTCCTCTTTAGCTGCCAGGAAGACCATCATAAGTGCTCAGAATCTTGTCAGTGATCCAATGCTAGCTGAGGTTCACTCAGGAAAAGGAAAACAAAGCAGCAGAAGAATTAACCAACACATGAAAATGTGCACAACTGCTTGGTATGACTTCACTTACCCAGTGTAAAGATTATGAAAGAGAATGACTTTTCTGGAAACATTTCCAGAGTCAGACACTTGGGGTGGGCAAGCATTTCTTTAATGTTCTAGAGCATGAAGTACATTAATCAAGGTCCTTTTATCCCTTGTAGTGCATGTTTGCTGATTGAAAACAATATTCCGATAGTGAATGTGGACAGAGACCAAATCTCCAATATTTCCCCAGCCCTCAGAAAGCTCTCCATAATTTTAAATCAGTCTTTATTACTGTTGTCATTCATGATTGTCTTGAGGCAGAACAGGAGCTCACAATAATTGCCAGTTGAATCCAAATAACATCTGATTAGTTTCCTGGCTCCTAGCAATCTCTTCTATAATGCAGTGCTGTTGCCAGACCAAATGGAGCTTCCGATACCGCTCACGAGATAAATGAAGAGGATTACCCCTCCTTCCACGAAGGGGAAAAAAGAAGCACGTGAGTTTGAATGAACAGTTATGCTGTCACAGTCTAAATCAGTATGTTCTTGGGAAATGTTTGTGGAGCTGGGAAGATCCAGAACAGAGCTTTAAAAGGGCTATCTCTTCACCATTGATCACTAAGAACTTAATGCAGTATATTACTCAGTTAAGAGCAAACATTTATTCCTTGACTGTTGAGAAAACAGGTCAAGTTCACCACAGGCATAATGGGTCCTATAAATGTCCAGTGAAGTTTACAACTTGAAGCAGCATGGTTCTGTTCTGGGTGGTTAGCTGGAATGGGCTCTAATGGCTTTCTGGCCTCAGCTTATCCAGCTCCAATTTATGGTCTTTGAACAGCAGAGGTTAGGTCTGAGGCCTAACACCAAACCCTCTGGTTATATTCTGTCACTTAGAAATATCTGGTTACAATTGTTCTTATGATACAACATGTCGGCTGGTGCTTAGCACATATTTATTTATATTTTGTTTTAGTATAGGGGATAATCTCCCTAGGTTGCCCAGTTTTGCCTGAAACTCCTGGGTTCAAATGATCTTGCTTCACTCTCCTGAACAGCCAGGACTATGGGCACATTGCCATCATGCCTGGGTTAACAAATAATGAAATAAAAAAGTTTTGCTTCAGTTCTAGGGTTGCAGTTCATGGCAAAGTGGAAGAACACATCCAAAATGGCTAAATTTTACCTAATGCCAGTAGTAGAACTGTAAGATCATCATTCCTTGAAGCATTTAAGAATCTCACCTGGCTTAGTTAAATAATTATAATCAATTAATTAACTTAATTTTAATTAATTGATTAAAAAATTCTGGAACAACTCAGATTACCTTCATTCCTTAACCATTTTACCACTCAAGTGTTTTTCTCCCTAAATCTACAGAAAGGTCAAATGCTATCACAATAAAAACAAGTCTATACAATTCAACAGGCCATAAGTCCCACCTTGTGATGTCTATTCATTCTGAGCAATACTGAGAAAGAACAAAGCTGGGTGTGGTGGCCTGTGCCTGTAATCCTAGCACTCTAGGAGGCTAAGGCAGGAGATCTGCCAAGTACAAGTCAAACCTAGGCAATTTAGTTAGGCCCTGTCTCAACATCTAAAAAAATTTTTTTTTTTGGTATCAGAAATCAAACTCAGGACCTTGCACTTGCCAGGCAGGTGAGACGCCATTAAGCTACATGCCCGGCCCAGAAAAATTTTTAAAAAGCGGGTATAGGGATGTAGCTTAATGCAAAGCCCCTGAGTTGAATCCTAGTAGTGACAAATACTAGGGGGAAAAAAGAAGAAAAAAAAAAAAAGAAGAAAAAAGAGAACAAAATTTTAAACTAAAAGAGATAGTTTATTAATGTAAATCTTCATATACCTTTGGAACCACTGGTGAAGTGTCCTTACCTCCTCATCATAAAAAATCAAAAGCAGAAATCAGGGAAGGAAATGTTCAGGATTCTAAGTGTTCTGATGTTCAGAAGCAAAGCAGGTGGATACAGCTGGCCAATAAATGCTTCAAGTATTGAAATGGAAATGAATATACTCTCTGAACAAAAGAGTAGATACAGATTTCTTTCTTTTACAGATCAGCATCATACCTTCTAAGTACTTCTGGAGGAAGGTTGATTAAAAATAATAGAACTAGCCGGGTGTGGTGACCCATGCCTGAATCCCAGCACTCTGGGCGGCTGAGGCAGGAGGATTACTATGAGTTTGAGGCTAGCCTGGGCTACATAGTAAGGTCAAGCCCAGCCTGAACTGCATAGCGAGACCCTGTCTTAAAAACCAACCAACCAAACAAACAAAACAAATGAAAAAAAAGATGCTATCCTTGGCTTTGGAGAAGTATTACCTTCAAATTTTGGAGAAGCAAAGTTACTGAAAAATATGTAAAGGATAACATCACATTATATATATAATTTTTTTTTTTTTTTTGGTACCATGGATTGAACTCAGGATCTCGTGCTTGCGAGGCAGGCCCACATTTAAAATTTTAATTTACTGCTATTCAAATAACTCAATATTTGGCATTAGCTTCTGTGTTTACAAAGAACAGTTACTATACACAGGTGATAATGTGACTAAAAGAACAATATACAAGAGAACCAACTGAAGCCTCCTTTGTTTTGTTTTGTTTTTTTAGACAGGGTCTTGCTGTATAGTAGATTACAGGTGTGTGTCACCACACTCAGCTGAAGCCTTTCTGTTAAAAGAAAAATCTTACTTCAGTCCAGGGTCAGTTTCTCCATATTCATCCAAGTAAGGAGCTGGATAGGCACAGCCTCTGGCTTTACCTTCGACCAGGACCACTTTGCATTCTCTGATTCTAAAGCAGAAAACAATCAAAAGGGAATACTGTTAGGTGCATATATGCCATACTAGGCACTGCATCAGTTAATCCAGAGAAGAGACACAGCCAGGATCTGTTAGGAATTTTAGTATAAAAACAATGTAAATGTAGATGAATAGATTAAGTTGTACTTGTCTAAATAAACAAGAGCAGATATTGCTGTATTTTCCTTGAAGCAACAGAAAAGAAAAGGATCAGCAGATTTAGAGAAAATGACATCAGTAATATTGGCTGAATACACTGAAAGGAGGAGAAGGCTGTTTTAATGGTGGCTGAGGCTATTGTTCCATTTCCTAATGTACGGAATGAGTGTGGGGAGAACAGAAGAAAAGAACTGGGTGTCCTAGTCTAATAACTGCAGGTCAGTCACACCAGGGAAGTATAAAGGCTTTTCAGGTGATAATCCAGCCTCCAATAATGCAGATGGCAGATTCAAAAGAACCACTACATGGTACTGGTGGAACACATCTGTGATCCTACCATTCTAGGAGGCTGAGGCAGAAGAACTGCATAGCCTGGGTAACTTATCAAAACCTTGTTTAAAAAAAAAAAAAAAAAAAAGGCTGGGTATACTGGTGCATGCCTATAATCCCATAATTCAAGAGGCTGACACAGGAGAAACTGCTATGAATACAAGGTCATCCTGGGCTACACAGTGATTTCAAGGCCAGCCTGAACTACATAGTGGGATGCTGCCTCAAAAAAGAAAGAAAGAAAACAAAACAACTTGGGATGCAGCTCAGTCCAAAGGCCCTGATTTGGGCTGGGGATTTAGCTCAATGATGCTACCACCTGCCTCAAAAACACAAGGGTCTGAGTTTGATCCTTGGTACCAAAAAACAAACAAACAAACAAACAAAAAAAAACCCCAAAATATCAAAGTCCCTGGACTCAATCCCCAATACCACAAAAACAAAAAACAATAACAATCAAAAAAGGAACATTGCTAGATCACTTGAAGACATTTAGGACTCTTAGAGTAGAGAAGTGGATAAGTACTACCCAAAGAAATGATAAACAGAAATCATTAAACAGTTGGCATAGATGTGGTTTCTCTAGAAGAAAACAGGTATTTGGGTTGGCCTTCTACATATTTTTCCCCCTTGGTTCAAAAGGTACTTTTGAATAATAATATGTTCCACAATTAGTGAGACTAACTGGGTTTATGCAAATAGAAACTAATTGCAATACATGGGAAGACTAGAAAGAAGAAAACCTATACATCCACTTTGAATTTCATTTCTTTTTCAGGCAATCTATACTTGTTTTTCATTAATGTATGTGACTACTGTTCTACTCTCAATCTTTTCTTGAAAGGCCTAGGGGAAGCTCTGGGTGATGTAGAAATGAAGAAAATAAAAACAGCCAAAGGATAACCTACAGTAACAATTTAGATGTTTTTTTTTTTTTTTGTACTGGGATTGAACTCAGGACCTTGAGCTTGTGAGGCAGGCGTGGTGCCATGAGCTAAATCCTCAGGCTACATGTACTTTTTAAAATATAAGTTTTAGGATTTCAAGTTATCATATCTGAATATACAAAATCTATTTAAGATTTTCTACAACTAATGAAAATGTACAGAACCACACTTTTTTTTTTTTTACTACTTATTCTATAATTCTTCTCAAATGCAATTTCCTCTAAGTAACAGATTTGTACTCTAACTCCTGATCAATCATTTCCTGACATGCTGTCCACCCTAATGGCTTCTAGCATGGATCCCTGTGCTCCTTAGCAAATTTTACATCATTTGTTACTCACTTGAGGAAAATGCAAACTCCCGCTCCACAGTGAAGTGCATGAAAAATACAAGCTCCGACCTCTTCCCCATTCACGATTTCTTGGCAGCAGATGTTCTGAGAACACAGGATGGCCCCACAGAAAAGACAGAGGACAGGATGCTTGCGCTCATCGTCTGCAGACCGTGGACACCTCCAAAAGAAAGGGAACAGCCAATGTGGTAGAAAAACAAAAAATGCACCATATCTATTGTTAACACTTTCACTAGTCACTTTCCAGCATGGTAAGCTCTTATAATAAGGGAACATTTAATATGATTCCTCCTTAATATTTCCTCCAATGAGATTTAAACAGTCTTTTCACTGGGCTGGGGAAGGAGGCCACTGCAGATCACATGCTTGTCTTTAAGTGTGAGACCCAGGGTTCCATCTCCACTACCAAAACAAAACAAAACCAGACTGATTAATCCATAGAAAGGTAATCTGTTATTGAACACATGGTGTCCTGGTAATTCCTACCAAGTCTAGAGATGAAATGCACCTTGATGTTGAGACCTGACCTGCCTGGCTTCACATCCCTCCCCACACTTGTTCAGTAAAGCTCTGACCATGGTGTTGGAAGAATTTAACTCTGTAGGGGTCCAAACCTCTGCTTACAACAAACTACATTTTTGCAGTAAGGGTCCAAACACATCCCTCACCCCATCTCTTTGATGTCTTGAGAACTTTAAGCCTTCGAGCTGATGTACTCTTCCATCTGAATATCTCAGCAAGTCTTAGGGAAAAGAGCTGACAGCCGATTTGCTGAACAAAGGGGTGTTTTGAGATCTGGCCATTTTCCATGTGCTATACCAGAGCCTTGCTGCAGTGTTCTCCAGAGGGGTAATGGGGATTCTTTTCTTATTTTTGGTGGTCCTGGAGATCAAAACCAATGCCTCTGCACTGGGCTATATTCCCACCACCACCACCACCCTTTAAATTTTTTCAGACAGAGTTGCATTAAGTTGCTAAGTTGCTCAGTCTTGGGCTCAAACTTCTGATCCTCTACCTCTGCCTCCCAGAGAGCTGAGAGTATAGGTGGGTGTCACCTGCTTAGTGATCTCTCTCTTTTCTTTTCTTTTTTTTCCTTTCCTTCCCTCCTTCCCTCCCTCCCTTTCTTTCATTTATTCTGGTTTTTGTTTGTTTTTTTTTTTTTATTGGGGATTGAACTCAGGTCCTTGAGCTTGCGAGGCAGGCAGCGTCACCAGAGCTAAATCCTCATTTAGCTCATTTATTGGACCTCATTTATTCATGCTTTGATACAGGGTCTTACTATGTAGCCCAGGCTGGCCTCGAATTCAGTGATCACCCTGCCTCATCATCCCAAGTGCTGAGACTACAGGCATGTGCCACCACACCTGGCTGGAGATCTTTAAAGGAATTTCCAATTCTCTTCCTATCTCTGCAGCATATGGACACAATGAAAAATATCAAGAATACCCAACAAAGGCAGTAAAAAATAAATATAACCAGAGGCTAGATCCAGCTAGGCCTACCTTGGAGGCAGAATAAAGGCATCAAAAATGATCTCCAGTAGGGTATTACAAGTTTCTTGGCAAGATAAAAAATATCATTGTCAGCATAAGAGTGGAGGGTCTCTATACATATGCATTCAACTCCTGTCCCCTGGAGACAAGGGGGCTATTTTCAGTTCTAGCTTTTTGATCACTTCAAGTGAGAAAACTAGATGATAAGATATGAGAAGTAGAATAAATTAAGGCAAACTCATTACTAACCACGTGTGAATTACCTATTAATTACCTTAAAGTGAAGAGCATATGTTAAACATGTGATTTTAGTTTTTTTTTTTTTCTTCAGGCTGACCTTGAACTCACAGTGATATTCCTGCCTCAGCCTCCTAAGTGCTGGGATTACAGGTGTGTGCCACCATACCTTGCAGTTTTAGCTTTTGTAGACAAAGCACCTATCTTCTTTTATATTTAACACAGCATGGCTGAGTCCAAGTCACTAGCCATCCTGCAGAGGAAGGGGGGAGAGAATGCCTGAAGGGACCATCCAACACTAGAGATAGCTCAGCCTTAATGGAGACTTACCATGACAATTAACTACAACAGACAAGAGGATTTATCAATGTGGGGGACAGAAGCCAGGATCTTGCATGAGCTAGGCAAAGGATCAACTGTAGAACTGTATCTCCAGCCCACTTTACACTTAAAACCAATTGCAGTGTCATCATCCAAAAAGGCTTCATGGAAACTGGTGATGACAATGAAACTGGCTTAGAATTCACCTTCATTTTTTTTGGTACTGTGGATCGAACTCGGGTCCTTGTGCTTGCAAGGCAGGTGGCAGAAACATTGAACTAAATCCCCGGCCACCTTCATTCTTTTTTCAAACTAGTCAGTGGTGATATCACCCAACATGTTCCCTGTGATTAAAAACTAATACTTTTCACTGGGGATTTAACTGAGGGGTGCTGCTGCTTACCTCAAAAGCACAAGGTTCTGAGTTTGATCCCCAGTACCAAAAAAACCCAAAATGAATACTTTTCTCAGAAGCACCACACCCACACTCCCACTGACGCCACTAAGAACCAACAACCTAATACCTTATAATGACCAGAAGACAATTCCTATTTCCTGGCTTCTGTGGTAGCTCTCCAGTCACAAGATTAGAATCATTTAATATAGTAGCTGTATGCAATCTTTCAAATTAGCTAATTTTTTTTTCCTGTTTTTGAGACAGTCTTGCTATGTAGTTCAGGCCGGCCTTGAACCCACTACGTAGTATAGGCTGGCTTTGAACTCGTGATGATCCTCCTGCCTCAGCTTCATGAGTGCTGGGATGACAGGCATGCATCAACCATGCACAGCAGGTATACCTTATTTTAAAGACACAATGCACTATGATTTAAATATAAAATATTCACATCCCAATGGCTAAAGTAGATTATGAATATAATTCCTCTATTCAGTAATATCTCATTGGTGGTCATTCACTTATGCTATTCAAAATAACTTTTAAAAAATTGTTTTTTAAGTCAGTCTTGCTAAGTAGTTCAGGCTGGTCTTGAACTATGTAGCCCAGGATGGCTTCAAAATCATGCTGAACCTCCTGCCTCAAGTCTCCTGAGAAGTGGGATTACAGGTCAGCAATTTACACATATAACAAGGTAAGTGTAATAAAATGAGAACAGCATTTTTAATTTTATAGGAAATATTTTATCATATAATTCTATTTAAACTTATGCTCTTTTGTAAAAATAATAGGTAACTCACACATGGTGCAAATGTAATGAGTGTATTTTATTTCACTTCTCATCAGTCTTTTTTTGTTTTTTCATCAGTCTTTTTTATAATCTTTTTTCACCTGAAATGATCAGTGAGGAGGGAGAGGGAGAAAAAAAACTTGGAGAACATTTTCAGCAGTAGCATTAGAGATGTTCTGACTGAGGAAGGAGGGAAGCACGGTGCTGAAAAATCATATAAGGTTCTTCTCTCCAGGATCTAGGCTTGAACTAGAGTTCAACACTATTGTCTGCTTTGGTGTGATGGGCTTTAAGACTTTATTCTTGTGAAGAGTTGTACCACAGAAGATAATGGGAAAAGTATGTCCAGGCAGTGCTTCCTCTTATAAACCAACTACTGAGCTGAGAGAATATCGAAAGCAACTACTTTGGAACTCAAAGCTAGATGAATACTTGCAGCATTTGAGAGAGTACTCGATAAAGGAAAAGGCTGGTACATTTTGACATTTTGTGTAGCAGTTACCACCCCCTACCTCCCAGACCCATGACAGAAAGCTGTGGGGATGGCAGCTTGCTTTTCTAATGTAGTTTGCTTGCATCAAGGTTGATAAAGGGACATTGTTCTTCAAAGAGTGGGAATGTGCGGTTCGATTTATCTAGCAGTTCACTCAGGCTGGCAAGGATTTGAAGATAGAGGTCTTATATACTGGTGGAAATATAAAATACTGTAGTCATTGTGGAAAATAGTTTGGGAGTTCCTCCAAAACCCAAACATGGAACTACCATATGATCTAGTAAATGCAACTCAACTTGTACGTATATGCCACCCCAAAAAAATGAAAACATATGTCCATAAACTTTCCAAAAATGCTCACACTAACATTATTCATAATAGTCAAAAGGAGGAAACAATCCCATCATAAATATATGATGAATGCCCATTGATGGATAGAGGAATAAGCAAACTGTGATATACACATACAATGGAATATTACTTAGCCAAAAAAGGAACAAATCACTGATGCATGCTACAACTTGGAAAAGCATGACAACATGCTGTGTAGAAGAAACCAGATGCAAAAAAGCATATACTGTATGATCTCTTTTGTATGACAGGTCCACAACAGGTAAATGCACAGAGACAGAAAAACAATTGTTGGTTACCAGCAGTAAGGGGAATCATAATAGTTAACCATTTGTGTCAGTTTCAGTAAGAAATGCCTGACTAAACTGGCTCAGCATTGTTCTTGGTGTGGAAGACCCACCCTAGGGAGGATTATTGCCAGAATGGTATAAAAAGGAAATGAAAGTGGCACCACACCTGTCTCACAAGTATAAGGTCCTGTACAAAAAAAAAAAGAAGGAAAGCTGTTTCTTTGGAGGAGCTCCACTCTATGCTTCACCTTGGATGTCATCTCCTGGCTACCAGCACAGACCCTTGTTTTCCATCGCAGACCTTCAGGCCTCCAGATATGGACTCACATGGGACACTACAGTGGCTCCAGGCCTTCAACTGGATCCTTCAGATCTGCAGTGTGCAGACAGATCTTTTGCATACTCCCACACCTGACTCTGTGGACTGCCACTGTAAGCTAATAGTGCAAATTCTTCTATATCTGTATATCTTGCATTAGACCTCTTTTCTAGTAAGGAATGGAAAGTGATTAATGTGGGTACAAAGTATCTTGGACAATGAAAAAGCTAAAAAAATTAAAAGAAATAGTAGCTGTATAACATTGTGAATATATTAAAAGCCACCAAGTGTCAGGGATTTAGCTCAGTGGTTCTGGCGCCTGCCTCACAAGTGCAAGGTCCGGAGTTCAATCCCTGGTACCCACACACACAAAAAAAACCCACAAACAAACAAACAAAAAAAACAACAAAAAAAACCCTGTAAAAAAAAAGGCCACCAAATTGTAAATTTCACCTCAATTTTTTTTCATCTCAATTTTTAAAAAAGACTGATGAGCTGGCTGTAGCGGTACACATCTATAATCAAAGCACTCTGGGAGGCTGAGGCAGGAGCATCACAATATTGAGCTTAGGTAGGGCAATTTAGTGAATTAATGAGAACCTGTCTCAAAACAAAAAATAAAATAGGGCCAGAGATGTAGCTAAATGCAAAGGCCCTGGCTTCTGTTCCCTGTACTGGGGGTTAAAAAGATTTCTGATCACTGTTAAGAGAGGGTCACTTTTAGAAAAGTAAGTCTGTTTGTGATACTATAGACCAAGTGCAAGCTCAGGAAAGTTTAAAATACACACACACACACACACACACACACACACACACAGTCTTACCTGAAATGAGAAGCCTGATTCAGGAGGCAACTGTAGTCATCAGGAAGCTCTATCAAACTATTTCTTTTTCTAGGATATCTAGACATGGGATTTAAAAGATAATTTTGAGTAAATAACCACAAGGTGATGGAAGAGTATCTTAAAAATCACAACAGTGGGTTGTGGCTCAGTAGTAGAGTGCTTGCCTAGCAGGTGTGAGGTCCCAGGTTTGACCAAACAACCCCAAAACAACAAGCCCAAAGTAATTGGGGGGGGGATTCAGAATTATAATCCAAAGAAAATCCCACTGTTGAGTAGATTAAATTCAAACTTTCATCTCAGAATTCCAAATCTTTCATCAGCTGGCTTCCTTCCCAAACTCAAGCCCCACTATTTTCCAAGACTAAATTCTAGCTAGATTTCTAAACTGTCTAAGAAGATAGCATAATAGTTAAGAACATAGCCTTTGAAATCGGACAGACCTAATTACAAATCCTAAAATCTGACATTTGACAAGTCTCTGAACGTAAGCCTGTAAATCAGATACATATTTCTACAATCATGAGCACAGTCAATTTAGTAACAAGAAAAAAATGAAGAGTTAATGTTAAATGAACTCATCATTTAAATATAAATACTAATGTGCACTGAAATTTTATTTTGTTATTTATTCTCAGCACACTAGAGATAATAAAAGAGCTGCATGCAAGGAATTATCTCCTTAAAACACCAATCAACTTACATTCTATAATCCTTTCTATATTCAGTTAAAAATGATCTCCTATAAGATTAAGTCTGCCTCTTATGAATCTCTTCTTTAGGGCTGGGGATTTAGCTCAGTTGTGCTGCCACCTGCCTCACAAGCGCAAGGTCCCCTGTTTGATCCCCAGTGCCCCTGCAAAAGAATCTTTTCTTTAAATTTCGATGCCATTAATGACACATTCCATGCATCATTATACTTTAGGCCATATCTTGAGTTTTATATTCATAAGTAGGTTGTAAATTACTCATAACCAAACAATGCAGTTATATTACCTCTTTTTAAATCTCTCAGAGCACTTAATACCATGCTGGGGACAGATGTCTAAATGGCACAAAATAATATGAAACAAAAGAAAAATTGTGTGAGATTACCAGTGAAAAATATGAATTCATATAGTAACCTTTTTCTTTGTACTCCCGATTTTCTTTAGTAATGTGAATACTGCTGTATAGCATACATCTCTGCCCAGTACTAGTGGGCTATAAGTGGCAATGCTTCTTGCTTCCCATAATTTGACTATATTTTTATTATTACAAGTCAGACAAAAGCCCTGTGTGACTGTAATGGGCCTGTCAGATGGCGGACTGGGCAGGTATAGCTCCTCCTCCAATGGCTGCCACGGAGACCAAACACCTGGTCTGTGAAGTGGCAGGGCTCTGCTGAGTTACATGCAGCTGAGGTCAGTGTGACCCCAGTTAAAATCCTCTCCCCTGAATTATGGCTTCTCACTGACCTGATGTGCTGCTGGCTAATTGTACCTGGTTCCAGTATTTGTTTGCTCCCTCCAAGCAAGATAAGCAGAGCCTCCTCTCTTATAGCCCTGCCTGGTGCCATCAAGCCAGATGTTTGGCTCTGTATTACTAGATCTTCAAATCTACTCTGCTCACTTTCTTCCCTCACAGGTCATCAATAAATATTGGATTCCTTGGGGGCCTTTGTCTTTGTTGCCCAGAGCAGCACAGATCAGCCCCAAGACCCAGCTTTCTCTCTAAGTCTTGTATTCTGTCTTAATTTTTATTAGCTCTATGGCCTCACAGGAGACCAGAACTCACTGCAGGAGTCTTTGGTAATGTCCCCATTCCTGTTCTCTATACTGCTGCCTCTGAGCACAGGAGCTAATCTATTATCATTAAAGTAGTGGTATGGGCAAAAGCAGTACATGCACATTTAGAATAGTATAAGAGTGCAAGGGGTGAGAGATCAGAAAAGAAGAAGGCAAATGTATACTATCACATAAATTTGCTTCATCCACATAATAATGGTAATAGTGTTGGTATTTAAAGTTGGGAAAAGAAAAATAAAGCTGGGGACCAATTTCTCTACCTATTTATTGAAACAAACCAATTCAAATAAAAACACTGTACATACTACAAGCCAGGCCCCAGAAGGAATACAAAGATAAACAGACAACAGCTTTGATCCTTGCTCACTGTTTAGTGATTTAGGGTATGGCTGGTATACATGGGCACATGCATAGGAATGAGGGTATGTAAGGACAGGCTTCATGAAGAAGATATTTGAGGAGTGGTAGATTCTGACAGAGCCAAACAATGAAGATAAGAGGATGAAGAAAAGCGTTGGGGCTAGTTTCTAAGCATATGGATAGGAAGACAAGGGAATAAGGGGATTATTCTATCTTTATTCTCTAACTTAAGGGTGGAAAATAGATACTCCAAGAAAAATCAAATGTAGAAAGAATCCAATTTATGGCAAAGACTTAAGAGCAATGTAGGAAACAATGTACTGTACTGAGACTGAAGAAGGCAGACTAGAAAGTACACTCAACCAACCAACTACTTAAGGAAACCTGTGGAGGGGATAGTGTCGGGGCCCAGTCATGGCCCACTGGAGTTTGACATTTGGAAAATAACTTCTTCTTGTATAATTAAGGCATCAACATTTGCTACTCTTCAAGGAAACTGTCTGTTAAGCTGGTTTTGACTCTTTGACCCTGACATAACAGGAAGCTCGTTAGCCAAAGATCTGATGTTATCAGTAAGAGTCAGGAAATCCGGTCTTTGAAAAACAATGACTTGGTGTTTTTGGTTGTTGTGTGCCCTTAAAAGCTTCCTGTTGCTGTGAACCTATAAAAGGAGCTCTTTCTGTGAAATAAATCAGACTTCTCTTCGTCTCCACTCAGGCTTGAGTGTTCTTTCCTTTCTCAATCCTCACTCCCCGACTCAGGCATGTTCGTGTTGTGACGGCTGGACCGCCACAAGTGGCGCCCGAACAGGGACCTGAAGAACAGGTACTTGAAGAACAGGGACCTGAGTATCGAGGGATTCAGTGAAGGACACCGCTGGATAAAGAATAAAAGGAGATCTCGACAAAAAGAAAAAAGAGGACCTTCAAAAGGAAGGCAAAAAGAGGAGCGGTGAGTTTTCTTGTAAATATTAAAAATGGGAGCAGGCAAGAGTTGCATGCTTTTTGTATATGTGCTTAAAGATTTATTGTGTGTCAGTGGTGCTAGAGTAGGGCACCAGCAATTGTGTAATTTATTAGAATTTGTAGAAATAGTTCGTCCTTGGTTTCCTTTTCTTTGCTTCAGTGTCTTTCTTTTCCTGCTAATGTCTGAATTGGTAATTTGTGATCCGGATCATTTTGGAGGCAGGGAGGGAGGTCCAGGCAGACGTGCTAGTGGACTCCCCGCAGCAGGGGCCGGAGAGGTCCTTTGCCCTTCTGGTAGGAACTTTGTCTCTGTGTTTATGGGGAGGGAGGTTGATTTTTTTC